AAGATGTTATTTTCAGGGAAAAATTAAAATAAAACAATTTTATAATACATTGTAAAAATTTAACATACTATAGTATAAGTTTATATTTTATTTCATACACAGTTGAGTGCACTAATTATTAAACCGTCTCACATTAATATTTGCATAGAACGTAAGTTATGAAGCTGAGTGCCTGGGTTCATTCAGCACACATGCTTTAATAACATTAGTTACAAGTTAAATAAAATACGAAAAAAAAGACCTACCTTATTTTATTTTAAAGAAATTTAATTTTAATTTTTTCAAATCTCTAAAGCTTTTCATGAGATGCACGTATGAATATGATCTTTCTTCTGTGTGATGGATGCATTTTCAAATTCATATTTTCATCCACCACAAATGCACTATTCATTCATTTCATTCTTTTTTTAATATGTTTTTCAATTAAAATTAATCACTATTATATATTTACATCTATAAAATTTGTTATTCATTCTCCTAAAAATGTATAACTATAAATTATTATTTTATTTTTTCAACACATTATATTTACAAAATTTCACTATTTTCAAAAGAAAAAAAAAAATCAGTGTCATTTTTCATTAGACGAAAGTGAATCATTATGAAGTTGAAGGTTATTGATTGGGTACATGCCATTTTGTCTCGTCAAATGATTATTATCTTCACCTTAAGACCACTATAATAAGGATCAAACTCCAGCGAGTATAATGGCGATCATAATCAATGGTCTAATCATTAATTTATAATTATAATTATGAACCATAAATATTTCCCAGAAACTTCTAACAACATTGTTAAAGATTAACTTCATGATCTCGTCGTTATCTCTATATATATGTTCCTTTGTTGGTGTACTTATCTGTTCAAAGCAAACTAGTGCGTGGCCCGTGCGATGCACGGGAAAATAGTATTTTGATTGTATTATAAATTAAATAAATAAATAACATTAATCATGATTTACCCATTATTTTTAAATTAAACCGGGTTGGACACAGTCCCGACCGGATGGACCGAGAATCGGTTTATAACCAGTATATTGCGCTTGAATAAAATATATGCTATCGAATCCGTCAACATCAGTATGTTGAACTGGTAGGATCGATACGATTTTCTAAACAAATTTTGTTACATTAAAAATTATTTTAAATAAAATTACATATTTAAATAAAATAGAGATTTATAAATTGTTTATCAATTAGTTTAAACATTTGAATTTATAAATTGTATAGATATTTAAGTAACACTTTTTATTTAAATTTATTACAAAAAGTACTATATATATATATATATTAAAGTATTATGTATTAAAATCTGAACAACCACAAATGATTTAATAAAATAACTTGATCGTTTCGATGACGTTCCGGTTCTGAAAACCTTATATTTACCGTACATTAATAAAAATGATAATAAAATAATTATTTTGTTCACATAAATAATAATAAAATGATATATAAATATTCATAAATTATTAATCATGTTGTCGTAAAAGTATTGTTAATATGATTATTTGAAGTTTGGACTACATAATAAAGTATTTTCAATATCAAAATTTATATTTAGGTTCAATAATCGATTTGGTCTAGTCAAACTGATACATAACTTAGTTACTTGGGACCAACCAAGTTATGTCAAGTTTTTTGACTATTTTAAATATCACCTAAAAGTAATTCAATCAACGTGGGCAATACCCTAATTCAATCACCCGATTGATCCAAAAGTAATTTCATTATTTTCTTTAAATATAATATTTAATTTTATGAAATAAAAAAAATTTATGATTCATATGTCTACACCAAATGATAGTATATTAAGATTATAAATTATATATCTAAAGATGAATTATTTATTTTTATTTTATGCATATTAATAAAAAATAAACATAGTAATTTAAAAAAAATCAAGATTAATTGATTGGGTATATATATATATATAACATGATTGAATTTTTGGATTAGAAGATATATATTTAAAATGATTTTATTATTAAAAGTCAAAAAGAAAATATGTCATAAAGATTACAACTTTGAAAAGTTTGTAACTATTAATTTAGGAACCATCCGATTTTAAATGATTTATAATTTTTAAAACAGGATACGTCATCTAAAACCCATTAATTTAGGAATCATCCAATTTTTTGATAATAAATTCAAATTAAAATATAAAATAAAAAAATTGCTAAAAATAGTATGTAATAAATGTAGGTTGACTTTTCCTTATTACTATTTATGGTAAATATTAATTCTTATTATATATATATAGAAGTGAAAAATAAGTGATGGATGCTTTGATTGAATTTTATCATCACATTATATACTATTTAGCAGGACATCAAGTTTTCTATTCAATAATGCTATAAGGAAAAATATGATTGTAAACTCTCATACCTGTTACATTTTTTCTCAACTAAAATACATATTTAATATAATATGTCATACTTTTGATTATATTATTTATCTCACATTTCTTTTTTAAAGAAAAGGGTTAATTGCAAATAAAATCTTAACCTTTTGTCTAATTGCAAATAAAACTCAATTTTTTCAATTTGACAAAAAAATACCAAACCTTTAATAAGTGTTGCAATTTTGTCTCAATCACCTTCCGTCGCCGCCGGATCACCGCCAACCGCCAACCGCCACCCGCCGCCGGCCAACTTCGCCGAATGTTGAAATTTTTTATATGATCTTGTAGCTCTCCTCCGTTCCGACAACATAACCGAGTTTCACGAAAAAATTCCGACAATAAGGCTTCCAAATTTCCGGTCAAAGCATGTAGATCTACAAATTTTCTCCGACGTTCTTTCGCAAATTCCCGGTGACTCACTTTGACCCACGTGAATCCGAAGGTACCTTTGAACTCCTCTTGCAAAGCCGCATCTAGTGACGTCCACCTTTGCCGGAACCGGTGACTTTTTCCGGTGACGACTTTTCCGATCATCTCTTTATCGTCGAAATTTTTTCGTGAAACTCAAATATATTGTCGGCACGAAGGAGAGCTACTAGATCATGTAAAAATTTTCAACATTCGGCGAAGTTAGCCGGCTGCGGGTAGCGGTTCGCGGCGGTTCAGCGGAGGCGGAAGGTGATTGAGACACAATTGTAACACTTACTAAAGGTTTGGTATTTTTTTGCCAAATTAAAAAAATTGAGTTTTATTTAAAATTAAACAAAAGGTTAAGATTTTATTTGCAATTAATCAAAAAAATTATACTTAGTTGAAAATATATGACACATCTGACTTTTAGATCTACCAAACAATAGTCTGGATCGAAAAAGTAATAATACAACAGCTCAACTTTAAGTTTTGTATGAAGAT